CTCTGGTTTCTTCCCGTAGTGTTGCTGAACATGTTGCTCTCTCTCTTGTGTTTCCTGTGATGTGGAAGTTGAATCTAGATGTGATGGACTTGGGTTCTGCACTTTTGCTAAGAATGCATTGTAGGTGATGATATGTGTCTTTGCATTACCCTGCATTGGTGTAATGACAGCTCGATTCCCCCACATGCAGTTATATTTGTCTTCTTGCCAGTAGGACGTAATCTGTATGTTGGCACATTGGCATCATATGAACATCTGATTCCTCAACAATTCTGCTGGTTTTAGCACTAAGCAACAATCGTTAACTAAAATAATTACAGCAGGGATTTGAAATTATATTTTCTAAGCCTGTAATTGCTTTTACATGTGTTAGCTGGCATTTTCTGTGAAAGTAGAGATTTCCCTCACATAGTGGGACTCTTAAATTATCATACCCGAAATATCTTTTAACTGCCAGTTTTCAAAGTAAGGAACTGTTTAACAGCTGCCTCAGATGAGATGTTGGAAGAATTTAAGCATTTTTCACTGCAAATATGATGTATTGATCATTTTCAGTATATCAGGACTGCGTTAAAGGCTTTATATAACCTAATTCTTATGACAACACAATGAGATTTTAGAGAAGATAACGGAAACAGTATGTGGTTAAATAATTTGATATGGTGTGTTCACTCACATGGGAGTGACAGAGCTGGGATTGCAAACTCAAATTGATCTTAGTCCGAAAATCCATGCTTAATTCTTCTATACGGTTTTTTTGTTTTTGTTTTTGCATTTTACTTAAAAGCCAAATTCTACTTGTAATGCTGTTTGGAATGTTGCCCAGTTTATAAACACTAGTAATATAAATTATGCTTTATAATTCTTATGAGATCTCTTCCCCTTCCCTTATTTTTTTTTTTTATATTTTTAACAGTGTGAAGAAAACACAAACCTTCAGGATACTACCCGCTACCTCAAACTTCCCTTTTCCAAGGGCATTTTCCTTGGGAATAATAATCAAGCCATGAAGGCCACAAAGGAGTCTTTTTGTATTACATCCTTTCTCTGTTCCACAAAACTCACACAAAATGGTAATGTATAATATTTTATTTGAAAGCCCTAGCACTAATAATCATGTAAATTTTGGTACGCTCAGTAAACACCAAAGTTATAGTTAAGAACTTTACATTAGAACAATTATTGATCCTTCTGTTTATGATTTCTAATAAAATGGAAATAAATGTGACATAGTGATCTGTTGAATGCATGCCATTTAAGAAGGACTTCAAAATTATCCCAGTATTGAAAAACAAGTACACAACTTTTCAAATAAACCATCAAAACCCAGCTGGTTAAAAAAAAAAAAAAAAAAGAGGGAAATACCAACACCTTAATCTTGTGCTTTATAGCTCCATAAACAGTGCTAATTGCAGGCTTTAGAATAAAGGCTGTTCTTTGTTTAATTAGATGCATATTGCTTTTCAGTTCTAGCATTACTTTTTATGTCAGTGATTGCTTAGCAAGTTATGATTAATAAAGCAAGCTCTTCTTGGCAAATTGCTATGAAAACATCTTCTGTAATGAAGGAAGTAAATTAAACATTTTTGAGTTCTTTATCGTTGCCATATAAGACTTCTGGCTAGCACCCTGAATGCTACATTAATAAGTTAGATTCATTATGTTGAGAAGAATCACTTTATAATGAGGTATTGTGTCTCATAAAAACCTGTGCCTAAACATGTGTGCTGTTAATTGTTCTTTCTTAGTTCCTTCTTCTGTGTCAGAGATCAGCATTTGTAGAAGGAAACATTTCTTCTTTTAGATCTTAGTCTCAGAAAAAAAGCAAAATGTAGCATTAAAATACTGACCACTTTTAAAACACCTCTCAATTTCAACATTCATTGCTACTGTATTTATTTAGGACACCAAGTTAAGATATGTCATGTTATACCAGGCTTTGTCAGCATTAGGTAGTTAATGATTTTACTCAAATAAAATCTCCATTGGCATAATTCAACAAATGATTATAAAGCATTTACCAAATCTCAGGTATTTTTTATGAGGCCAGTTTACCCCCACAGAAATTATGAAGTAATAAAATCAACCTCTTACTGACATCCTTAAACAGAAATTTTTATTTACCCTATGTGGATTAGTTGTGTGTGTGTGTGTGTGTGTGTGTGTGTGTGTGTGTGTGTAGCAGAGTTTACATTCATGTTGAACTGAATTTCCCTGATAGAATATTTGGGAGTTATATTGCTTATCTATTGCAGCTGTAACAGTTACCACAAATTTATTGGCTTAAAACAGTACAGATTTATTATCTTGCAGTTCTGCAGGTCAGAAATCCAAAATCAGTTCCCCTGAGCTAAAATCAAGGTGGCAGCAGGGCTGCATTCCTCCTGGAATAGAAAGAATCCATTTCTTTACGCTTCATAGCTTTAGAGGCCACCTGCATTCCTTGGCTCATGGCCCCTTCTTCCATCTTCAAAGCCAGAAGCATCTCCACATCTCTGGGACTCTGACCGTCTTACATCTTTTAAGGACCCTTTTGATTACATTGAGCTGGATAATCCAGTGTAATCTCCCTGTTTTAAGATCTTTAATCACATCTGTACAGTCTTCTTCTGCTGTGTGAGGGAAACATAGTCCCTCCGAATTCTCGGAACCTGTTCCTCCATCAGCTTCCAACAGGTTCCAAGAATTAGGACATCTTTTGAGCCATTATTCTGTCTACCACACAGGTAAACCTAACAATAGATTCTCTTCCATTAAAATGTTTGGTCCTACGTAAGGAATTTGTGCTGATTGTAGGGTTTAGGATGTTAGACACACTTATGCAAGTAAGACAGAGAGAAACAAATCCTGAAAATTAGAAGTTGCTACTTCTTAAAAGTAGAGAATATTTTCAGGTAAATATGAGTAAATAACAATTTATGAAATAATTATATTAAACATCTCCCTATATGGAAAGTGGGATAAGACTTCCATGTAATGGTTGGCTCATTTTTGGAGACGGATAAGTGCTTCATTATTATTTTGACTTTGATTAGCCTTGTCAATGTGAAACAGCTCAAAATGAGCCAGGAAATGAATGGCATGTCTCAAGAGATGGGAAGGAGGAAGGAAATAAGTGGGTCTGTCTGAGATTTATATGCTAAACACACATCTCTGTGTCGATGTAATCCAGTTCCAAATTGGAATTAAATTGCTGTGTATTTATTTTTCTTGACTTGGAAAATATACAAATCTTATTTCTACTACAATTCAGCATTTAGTAAGTGATAGGATTTCTAGGAGCAGTTTCCTAGAACAGATTTACATTTCAGAATTCCTAAAGTGTGTCTGTCTGCACACTCTTTGTCCAACATGGATAGTGTACCAAGGCCAAGCACAGCACTATGCTGGGCATCTGTGACTGCCAGATCAAGTAGAGATTTTAAGGTTCAGAGGTTTAGCAGTCATGACAACCTCCTATTTTATAGCTCTTGGTATGTTAGATACATAATATACACCTAATAAATGCTTGTTAAATGGAAGGTGGAAATTTGTATTTTCTGTGATAGGTTATAGCTCCTAACTTGCCACTAACATCCTTAGATGGCAAAAGCAAAAACTTAGGATACAGCAATTTTGCCTAAACTGTAAGTACTTTGCATACATGATTAATTACATCCAGATGGACATAGCTACTGGGCTTTTCCACATGCTCCATCATGAACAGTCTAGAGATTCATCAGCCTCCTTGCAGGGAACATGGGCAGGCTCGTCCTGACTCTTTGTTTGGACCCCTGTGTATTTTCCAGGCCTACTTACTTGGGCCCTAGTCCAGGTTCTCCACTGCTGCCACTTTGCGGTCAGCATAGCCACCTCCTTCCTCCCCACACTCCTTACGTTGAGCAGGGTCCTAGGGGACCCTACAACTGCCTCACTTTAAAGGAAGGGAAACAGAACACAAAACAGGAGTGAGAGCTGGGATGGGGGTGGAGTGGGAAGTGAGGAGTGAATGGCAAGGGAAATGCACTGGGGGATTATGAAAGAGAAGATGCAGGGGAGGCGAGGCCTCCTGAAGTGAGATGCAGGAAGTAGGAAGTAGGTGGGAGGGAGGCAGCAAACTGGAGAGAACAATAGAGCCTTGCCTTTGTTGCCCTGAGTCTCACTCTGTGGAAATACCTGATATGCCAAATATAACCAATCAGTTTTTAAAAGGTTTCAGTCATACCCCAGGATGTCTGAATTACATCTGAATATTAAACATTTTCAGGGTTTTTGGTTATGAAAACATCATAAATCTCTTTTCCAAAGTCAGTATTTTTTAAATCCCTTTATTTTTCTCATTCTAATTCCTCCTCCTCCTCCTCCTCTTACCCGTGTTTGTTGCAGATAAACATTCCTGTTTGGTACTGAATTCCTTACTATTAATAGTAAATCCTTTGTGAGGTTTTTCTCTTGAATCTGGCTTTGGTGGGGCTTGCTTCTGTTTCTCCTTGAGATTCTTAATGCTTTTCCTCACTTCCGTTCTCTATATTCTCTTTTTCTTTGTCATCTTACCTACTTTCTTGGTTTTGGTGGGTCTGGAGTTTTTGTTCCCTTAGTTATCTTTCTGTTTCTCAGAAAGTTCCATTTGGATTTCTGCTAAAACGGTGATTTGAAATTAATTTCCTGCTTCTCTGCCTGGAAATTTTGTCCTGGCTCCTCTCTCTGCCAGTCTAGTCTGGCAGTTCCACCAAGCCCTGAGGCTGGTTCTTCCAGGTCCCACTGCCCTGTGCATGCCTGGCACAAGCGAGCCTTGTCAGTTCTCACTGCCTTCATTGGCCCCCAGGTGCCAACTCTCCTTGCATGCTTTGGAGACTAATAACGCATGGACACCATCTCCCAGAGCCTTTCTAACTTCTGCCCAAGAACGATAAAGGAAGAGTGTATTCCCTCCCCAGGCGAACAGGTTCTCTGAGGACCTACTGGACTAAGGCCCACACATCTGTTTAGGAAAGGATTAAAGAGTGGGGCTCTGCACTTACCTGGACACTGGGACGGCAGATAGCCCATGGAGTCCAGGACCTGCTCTTCTCTGGTTGAGGGCTCCCTGAATGATCTGATAAATCACTGGGCCTGTCATCATTCTTTTAGTCTGCAAGGTTTGGATCACATTGTCAAGAAGACTTTTGTTGCTGGGTGGAGTTGGTTGCTAGGCAGAATGCTATGTGCTAGGCACCCAAACAGGAATAAAGCAGGTTCCCAGCCCTCAAGAAACTCATCTTTCCAGGAGGAGGCAGCAAATTCGTCAACAAATATTTGTCACCTGCCAGCTTCGTTCTTGGTTTTGGGAATATAGTAGGGCCAAGGTTGGCATGGCTTTTTTCTCTTGGAGTTTAGAGTCTAGTTGAGGCATACACAAATACACCAACAACTGTAATGGTAAGGTATGTGATGTAGAAGCACGCAGAAGTGACAGTTAGCTCGAGATTTCAGAAAAGGCTTCCAAGATGAAGCAACATCTGACCTGAGGACTAAAGGGTGAGTAGGAGTTTGTAAGTCAAGAGCAGTGGGGAGGAAACAGAATGCAGTGTAATAAATGCCATCCTAGAGAGGGCTAATCATGGTTTGCCTGCAACTTGAGTGGCCAGGAGAGGGGAGCCACATGTGTTAAGAATTTTACTTTTATCAGCAGAACACTTTCATGTGAGGACCTGTTCTCTATTAAGGCAATTCATCTTCCTTTTCTGTTTTGAAAGGTGATATGCTTGATCTTTTGAAATGGAGAACCCACCCAGACAAGATCACTGGCTGTCTCTCTAAATTAAAAGAAATTGATGGCTCAGAGATAGTAAAGGTATATAGTATTTTGTTACCATTTTCCTTGCAGAGATTCATAAAATAAAGAACATTGGGAGGAAAAAGGCAGATAGTATCTTATTCATTCATTTACTACTTCTTTAACAGTTTCTGCAGGATACACTGGACACCTTATTTGGAATTTTAGATGAAAATTCCCAAAAATATGGGTCTAAAGTGTTTGACTCTTTGGTAAGTTCAACTTCCCTTAATTATATTTTAATTGTTTTGTCTCTCAATCTTGACTTTCATGAGGCTGGTTCAGAAATGTGTGCTTAATAATGTAAGAGTTTATTTTAAGAAAACCAAAAAAAGGGAAAACCTTGATTTGCATTCAGTTTTATAAAGCTCAATTTTCTCTTTTTAGGTTCACATAATAAATTTGCTGCAAGATAGCAAATTTCATCATTTTAAACCTGTAATGGACACTTATATTGAGAGTCATTTTGCTGGGGCACTTGCATACAGGTAAGGCCCTGTATCATGTAATTAGTTTAGAAGTGGTTCCTTTCAAGCTTTTCTCAGCAGAAGTGGCAATATAGGAAAATTTTAAAGGGAGTGTAGGAAGAAATGGAGCACAACTGAAGTGTCTCTTGAGATAGTCTCTTCCCTGCTCACACACCCTTTTTAAATGGCTAGAACTTATTTTGATTAAAAAGGGAAAAAAAGAACCTCCTGAATTCTATTCCTGAGCCCAAAAGTATAAAGTCTTTCCTTCTTGTCTCTGTTTCACTGGATATTCTTTGGTCTAAAATACCTGGTTATTTCACGTTGGCTGTTAAGAGTCTCACTCCATCTCTGTACTCCCTGGTGATTATAAATGTTCGTTAGAAAGAAATATGAATAGAAAACAACCTTTGTCTTCACACCTGCTAAAAGTCGTTCTTTGCCTGCCTTCACATGGGGAGGGAATACATGCTTCCTTTATCTTTCTTCAGCAGAAGTTAGAAAGGCTCTGGGAGATGGTGTCTGCCATTCTCACTCGGTGGAAATACCTGATATGCCAAATATAACCAATCATTTTAAAAAGGTTTCAGTCATACCCCAGGATATCTCAATTACATCTGAATATTAAACATTTTCAGGGGATTTGGTTATGAAAACATCATAAATCTCTTTTTCTTTTTTTCTTTTTTGGAAATGGAGTTTTGCTCTTGTTGCCCAGGCTGGAGTGCAATGGTGCAATCTCGGCTTACTGCAACCTCCACCTCCCTACTTCAACTGATTCTCCTGCCTCAGCTTCCCGAGTAGCTGAGGTTACAAGCGCATGCCACCACGCCCAGCTAATTTTGTATTCTTGGTAGAGATGGGGTTTCTCCATGTCAGACTGGTCTCGAACTCCTGACCTCAGGTGATTTGCCTGCCTCGGCCTCCCAAAGTGCTGGGATTACAGGCATGAGCCATTGTGCCCGGCCTAAATCTCTTTTTCAAAGAAAAAGAGAGCCTCATTTATCTGTTAGGATTTACTGAGTGCCAGCTGCTTCCCAGGCGCTCTACTTTATGCTAATGATGTAAAGACCTTGTCCCTGGCCTCAGGCAATTTAGTAATTGGGATCTGCCCTTTGATAGGAACTGCTATTTTAGCTGTGCCTCCTTTTCTACCAGCTCAGGTGATGCTGAAAAGTTATGAATCATGTTCAGCTTTGGCGAGTGCCTGCCTCCTCACAGCGTAGTTGATAATTGCCAGAGGCCACAGCTTCTCTCTCTTAGTTCAACAAATAACACCTCCCGGTCTGGCCCTGTTTAAATAGCCTTAGAATGTACCCCACTGTTCTGTCTCCCGGGTGCAATATCGTCATTGCTGTTCTCCCTTATTTCTACCTTATACTTTAAGTACCTTTGGGCATGCAGGTACCTGACTGTTCCCAGAGATAAATTTAAAAAGCATGAAATCAAGTTTGTATCCTTCCCCCCACCTATGTCATATGTAAAAGTTAGTAGGTAATCAGATAAGCATTTGATCCTGTTTACTTGGGTAAGATCTATGTCTCAAACATAGAAATGAAAAAAGGTATTTTGTTAGACGAGACCCTTCATCAGTGTGATTTTTTGCTGAGAGTGAAATGCAACAGCAGGAACAGTTTTGAAACACTGGCCAACTCGGCCTAACAATTTGGGCCTTAGTATGAGGAGGTTGCTGCTTCCAAGTGAAATTGTCTTTGGAAGCTAGAAAACAAGAGTGTAATTTCTCACATTTCTGGTTGGTCAGGAAAGCAGGATCTTAAAAAGATAAGTAAGGTTTGTGGAATCCTCTCCGGCTGGGGGTGATCAGAAACCCATTGGCATGTTATCTTAAAAAATAGCCCTCCCCCAGCATCTATCTGCCGGCACATCCAGGTATTCCCTGACTCAGAGAAACTTCGCTGTGTAAACCATTTCCTAGAAACCAAGAACGGGCTAGATGCAGTGGCTCATGCTTGTAATCCCAGCACTTTGGGGGCCAAGGTGGGCAGATATTTGAGGTAAGCCTGGCCAACATGGTGAAACCCTGCCTCTACTAAAAATACAAAAAAAAATTTAGGTGTGGTGATGCATGCTTGTCATTCCAGCTACTTGGGAGGCTGAGGCAGGAGAATTGCTGGAACCCAGGAGGGAGGTTCAGTGACCCAAGATTGTGCCACTGCACTCCAGTCTGGGTGAGAGAGTGAGACTCTGTCTCAAAAAAAAAAAAAAAAAAGGAAAAAAAAGAAACCAAGAACTGACCACAGTTCAAGGTGGTAAGACTGTCATCTTAAGAGTTGTGGGTTGCTGTTGTTTTTACATTTTAATTTCTTTTTTCAAAAAGGAAAAAAAATATCTTGGCCTTTCTAGAAATTCTCCTAAGACGCATATTGACATAAGCCATGTTCTTCTCACAGGTCAGAAAATTGGCTTGATAAATCCATGAGGTGTGCATTGGAGTGGGGAGGTATTGTCTCTGTCCCTCCTCCCCACCCCATTTTGCCTGCAGTCTAAAGATATTGCATCCAGCTGTTTACATGGTCACTGGGAACAAAGTCCCAATGAGTGAGTTTACAGTATTGACCATGACAGTCATACTGCTAGGCACTTGGTTGGCCAGAGTCCTTTTCTCCAATATTTATGTTCACCCATTTGGAGGTATTACCAGAAATAGCAGGGCTAATGGAATATGTCCAGATTGAGTGTTGTTTCTCTCATAAGCTTTGAAAAACGGTGGTGATGTTGAATTGCAGGCAGTAAAATTATTATACACCAGATTGACAGGAAAATGTGAGAACTAATGAGGAAAGAAGCCACCTCATGATACAGCTAAATGTTGGATTTGTTGACTTTCAATTGAGAATTAGACCAATTCTACATTCTGGACATTTTCCCCTGTCTTTTAGAGATCTCATCAAAGTGCTCAAATGGTACGTGGACAGGATCACAGAAGCAGAGCGGCAAGAGCATATCCAGGAGGTGCTGAAGGTGACAACATGCTGTTGATAACAGATAGAAGAGTCTAACAAAGCTGTTGCATGCTGATGCTTAAACTAATTGGTTTCTCTACACAGACAGTAATGGGTGATGATATATTACTGACATTCCAATTCAATGAACTTAATCAGTTTGTGGCTGCCTGAATGCTGATGAAATTTGAAGGGGACTTTGCCAGGAACAGTTTCTACTGGAAACTGCTTGGAATTGAATCTTCATTTCTCTGGGCTCCAGAGCACTTGGAAGTGCAGTCTAAAACTAGCAGGAGAGGAAGGGTTTATGAGAGAAGACCATACAGGCGCAGTTAAGCTTAGGTCCTGGCTCTCGCTTCTACCAGCCTGACAGAGACCATTGGAGAATCATTTTTGTTAAATTTTAAGAGCAAATAGGGTGGCTTAGGAGGGATTCTAATGACGAAATCTGAGGCTTTACTAGGTCTCTGGCTTAACACTGCCCATGTTTCTGGGCACTGTATACTCAAGTTGTCTGTGGAAATACTAATTCCTTACTTGCAAACATGTTCAAAAAGTGTAGAAATTCTTAAAGGAATTATCCAGTAATAGTCCTGGTAGTCTTCTGATTCCTTTTGTTGAGGACCATCTTATTTGGAGTCAGTAGATTAAAGTAGACAATATCTACATTTTATGAAACAAGCATTTTGTGAATTATACGTTTGTCGCTTGGGACTGATTGAAGGTAAAATGCTAAGTGGCAAAAGTACTACTTGTCAAAACAATTTTTTTTAAAAGTCAGTTATGTTTTTGCTGACTGAATTTTAAAAACGTGTTCATCATACTCCAGAATTATAAAGTGTTTTTGTTTTTCTTTTAAGATGGAGTTTCACTCTTGTTGCCCAGGCTGGAGTGCAATAGCGTGATCTTGGCTCACCACCACCTCTGCCTCCCAGGTTCAAGCGATTCTCCTGCCTCA